GCCTATCACCCTAGATCTGATACATACCCTTTTGTCTTGCATCCCTTTGTACTAGCTAGTATTGGATAGGTGAGTCGAATGTGGAAATCGTTTCACTCTCGTGCTATCTGTGCAGCATGTAGGAAATGAATGAGGAACATACACGCACAAAATGTAATAGATACCTATCTCAAAAAAGAAAAGGATTGCTCAAAACGTGAGAGCAGCACTTTTCTAAAAAGCTCTAGCTGATGACAAACATAGTCGCTGTGCTTCATATCAGTGATACGAGTATCTCACACATACGGTTTAACTTCCGCAGACACATGAATTGAGTCTCATTTTTAGTACTCTCTGACTAGCGCACAGTATTCTCTTCTCAAGCCGCCTACGTCACAGGTGTCACAAAAACTGAAGCAGTTGCTCATCAATAAAGAGAGTCGTTTTTAGGTATCATCCTCGTATTTGGAACAAGAAATGCTTCATAGCGAAAATGGCGTCACAACTAGGGTCTGAAGGTGTACGTTTGAACATTTTCAGATGAAATCATTACCGTTCGCCCTAACGGTACATGCATTTACTTCAGTAGTCAATAAAATAGCGTTTGTCGCAAATGTAGTTTTGAGGTAGTGGTGGGGGGGGGGGCAGCGCGGCGGGTTCATCAAGGTAACAGTAATCCAATTTTTTGCGGAGAAACGAATCTTCAAGAAAGGTGAACCATCTATGTACTTCCAGAAAACTACAGAATTTTCCATCATCCTTCATACATCCCATTTTTCATGAAGTGAAAAGCTGAACTATTGTAATACACTGCGTCTCCTAATGATACAGCCACCTAGAAATTGTTCAAAATCTCGAATTCCACAAAGTTTCTGGAAAAATGTCCAACAGGAAAACTGTGTCAAATTTGGTCGCGAATTCGAAAATCAACACAAAATTCCAGGTTGAAAATGCGAAAAATTTTATCCTAATTTTTCCAGAAAGGGTCGCTTTTCCATCGTCTCCAAATGATACAGCCACCCCGTGTTTCTTCGTTGCATTTCATTTCTGCTCGGTGAAACTGTCTGATTCTGATCTGATTGACAGTCATTAGTCTTTCTTTGTTAAGTTATCACGAAAAGCAAGCAAGCCATTGGCCGGGCAGATCATCGCTCAAAAGAAAGAGTGTGCGCCAGGTACTCACAACAGCGCGGGAATCAAATTGAAGCTACGAAACATTGATAATTTCTCTCTGCGTGGTGTAGGAAATGAAGCTAAAAAGGGCTCTGAAAGCTCCTCTTTGCTTTTTGATCAAGATTAATGCGACCTTATGAAAATAACACCCAATTTCATCAAGCTCGAAATTAGAGTTCTTCTTCCAAACTTAATCTCTTACTGGATAGTGCTTGGTAAGTAGTGAAAACTTCCATAATCTTTCTAAAGCGGAAAGTGAAAACGGCAGTGCTCCTGAAAAGAAACGTAGGGAAAACCAAGCCATTTTGAAAAGAGAGGAAAGAGTAGCCAAGCCAATCAAGATAAGATCCGCTTTTTTCCTGTTATATCTTACTTCCTATCTGCTTTTCCTTCGAGTTTGGCCTTGCGTATGAAACCTTTTCTTCAAGACAAACCCATATGAAGCGAAAAGCGTCAAAAGAATTGCAGACGGAAAACAAGACATAACAGGCCGAAAATGAATCTTCCACCGCTTGGTTCGGCTGGCTGTACCATAAGGAGATGCACTGTGTGAATCCAGAAAACCAAATTCGACATTAGCTAGAATCTCTGTTTCAGTTCTCGCTGACGGTGGGTCTCGCCGCTTGCGGTGTATCGTCCTTCTTTTTCGGTTCTATGTTTGTTCCAGTCAGAAAGTACGATCCTGGAGATGGTACTTCCGTATCTATTTATTTTTTGAAATTTAAATACAGAAATGTTTTTAGAGAAAGTGAGTGCATTTTCAAAAACCTGGTCATTTTCAGGAATGTTCGTTCAATGGGTGATGTCGTGTGCAATTTTGATCGTTGGCTTCATCGTCTTTTGCGTTATGGGTTTCCCTGGCTTCTTTCCATTGGCAATGTTGGGTGGAATGTTTTGGACTATTGGTGATTTGGTTTTGAGCTGTTAAATAGATAAAAAAATCATGAAAATAGATTAAGGGTGTTCGACTGTAGAAATACGAGATCGTTGACAGTTTTGAACTCCTTTGACGTCACTAGTTCGATTATGGGGAAGGGAGGGGAGGAAGGCAGATTGCTTTACATTTGGGGGATTTCTTAGGTCACTACTTTACTGGCTGCAGGTGGTCACATAGTGACATCTGGAGCATTGGGAGCTACTGTAGAAAAAATAGGGGGCTTCAGAACACAGACATGAGGAAGTTCAGTGACAAAAAATCTCCCCGGTGAATATAAATAGATTTGAAATATAGAGTTTTTTTTACTGTACTGTTTACTCTTACTTCACTAGAACTTTACATTACTTCTACTTTACTATGGATATTATACTTGGAGTAGAGAGCATTCCTTCAAGCTACCTAATACGAGGAATAAGGTAACACCTAAGCGATTCATTCGAGTGTGCATACCACAAACTTGTCTGCATCCCAACCAATTTCCAACATCCTAGGGTTCTTCGACCATTATTCGTAAGCAAGTAGGTCTACTTCCCCGGTTCACAATCATCCATGGACTCTGTAGGCCCAAGCGCGGAAGCACCTTGAGTGCTTCCACCCTACCCCGGCACTTACCAGAGGTATGCAGACGAGTCGCTTACGGGTCGTGAGCAATCTTCTCCTTACCGTCACTGTTGAAAAACACACTGACTCCCCACCTCCGCTCCTCCCCCCCCCCTGCAGCTTCACCCTTCTCTTCTACTAATAACCTGTCCCTATTCAGGTAATGCCACAGCAGTTCCGATTATCACCAGGATTGGAATGGCCGTGGGAATGCTTATATGGAACACAACAAATTGCTTAACGGGATGGGCTGGTGGAAGGTGAGTTCTACTCCTCAGTCATGAGCTATCGATCTGACAGAAAAATCGTAATAAATCGCTTTGAAATCATGTCAGGTTCGGCCTCTTCGGAATGAAACCTAATATACCTGCCAGCCAAAGTCTGAACTATGGCGGATTGGTCTGCGTGATTGTTGGGTAGGCATGGCAATAAC